AAGTCATCCAGACCATCACCTACGACGCTGTCATCTTTCAGGTTTGATAGTCGCAGTGATTTAGGTGTCCTTTTTTTTCTTTCTGGTTTTGTTGATGGTGAGGGTTCAAACAAAGCAAACAGGGAGTTATTTTTACCGAGCAGTCTTGACAGCGCCGCAGTGTTTCTCCACATAGAAATGATTTGGGGGTGCCCACCTAAATATTTGTTTGGGGATGCCCACCTAAATATTTGTTTGGGGATTGCTCACCTAAATATTTTAGGGGTATATAATATATACATCAAAGTTCCAGTTTCAGATGTTGTATTGAAACTGGCACTTTGATGAGATACATATTCAACGACAGTTTCAAACTCATCCCCAAACCCCATTGTTTTCAATCTTTCAACCCAAGTTCAATCCCGCAACAACCATTCATAAATAAAAATACTTAAAGAGAAAATACCTTATATAGTATAGATAAAATGGCAGGGGAATACGAAGCAGGTTATGTTATAGATTATCTTTTATCAAGTAAAGAAGCATCCATAAAAACAGGGAAGAATAACAAACCATTGAAAAAACTAATCATCAACAACAAAGAATACTATTACAACAAAGACAAACCATTATCCACATCACTTCAAAACAAACTCAATCAAGTCAGCAACGCACAAGGTTTCAAACGATTTCATCTTCTAAAAAAAGCATCAAACACAATGAGAGGCATTAAAACAATCCAGAAATACAGATTAAAAATAGGAGCAAAAACATCAGAGACATTTTCAGCATTGAAAGGGTACGCCAACACATATTCAGTATCTAACATAACATTCAAGGGATACAAAGGATTAACATATCTTTTATGGCAAGAAAAGAAACTAACAGAGTTTTTACAACAAGCAAAGTCAATGAAACTACTTATTGATGTTGAGGTTATTTTTGATAAAGTCAGACAGCAAGAAGAGGATGATGGAGAAGGTGAACCAATTGAGGAAAATATACAAATAAAACACAATATGAGAAGCAGGAGATATAACATTCTAAATGTAGGAGACTTGAAAAAAGCCTTGGAAAATATACCTAAAGATATTGAACTACAAATTGAAAACTCACCTTTGAAACATTCAGGATTGAAAATTAATAAGATTAACAAAATCACCATCCACTACGACAAATACAACCCGAACAGAGCAGGAAGATATATGGAACTACCAGAATGGATTTCAAAGAAAAAAGCATGTATCAACATTCAAAATGATGATGAATTATGTTTTAAATATTGTGTTTTATGTAAATTTTATGAAGTCTTCAAGAAAGACCATCCACAACATATGAGACACTACAAGAAATTAATAACTACTGAAGGTCTAATTCAATGGGATGGTGTAAATTTTCCAGCATCCAACGATGACATAGACCATTTTGAAGAAATCAATAACAAATCTATATCAGTTAATGTTTATGTTGAAGATGAAAACCAAACCATCAGAGCAGACAGAATAACAAAAATTGAAAGACCATCTTGTCATATTAACTTATTGCGGATTGAACAAAATAATAACGATGCTTCACCAGAGGCTCACAAGCTTTGCGAACACTATGTTTTAATAAAAGATTTTAGTAGATTAGCAGGAAGACAAACAAACAAAACAACTAATAAAATGTTTTTTGTAGTTTTTGTCAGCACGGTTTCAAGTCAGAAAAACTTTTAAATTCTCACTTAATAAAAGGTTGTGTGGCAAATGACATTCAACAAACAAAAATGCCAAAAGAAGGAACAACAATGAAGTTTGAAAAGCATTTTAAGAAACTGAAAGCGCCATTTGTTATTTATGGTGATTTTGAATGTTTAACAACAGAAACATCAGAAGGCATCAAAGGGACTTATCAGAACCATAAACCCAGCGGTTATATGCTTAACCTTGTTAATGCTTATAGTGGAGAAATGAAACCATTTTTATATAGAGGTGAAGATTGTATTGATAAATTTTGTGAAACATTAAACAATATTAGAGATGATGTTATGGAACAGATGAAAGAATCAAAAGATATTGATATGTCAGATTTAGATGAAATTAAACATTTAGAAGCTAAAAGGTGTTTCTTATGCAACCGCGCTTTTGACAACAGAGTAGAAGCGAAAAAGAAAGTTGCTGACCATTGCCACTTCACAGGATTATACAGAGGCGCGGCACATATGAAATGTAATATAGACTATTGCTTTAAAAAGTATCATATACCAGTATTCTTTCACAATCTTAAAAACTATGATGCTCACCTAATAATTTCTAATCTTGAAAAGCTAAACACAAAGAAAGAAAGCATATCAGTAATAGCACAGAACAGTGAGAAGTTTATTACATTTTCATTAAACGGACTTGAATTTAAGGATAGTTTCAGTTTCTTGTCATCATCATTAGATAAACTTGTTAAATTGACGAAGTATGAAGATAATAAATTAAGGGACAACTGGCAGGAACATTTTAAATATAGTGTCAAAGGCAAATACATTAAAAACGAAAAAGATTTAT